GTGGGTTTAGACATTTTTGGTCCCTGGTCCATGTCTGCCTGTCGGACCAGAGGAGGGCAAGCTAACAGCAAATGCTGGGCTGTACTTTTCACCTGTCTCAGCATTCGAGCTGACACCATCAGTCATTGAATCCATGCACAGTTCCTGCTTCATCAATGCCCTAAGGCGGTTTCTGACGCACAGAGGAATGGTCAAGATGTTTAGATCTGACCGCAGCACAAACTTCGTAGGAGCTTGCAAGGAATTGAAGATAAGTGAAATTGCCTAGACCCAGCAATTGAGGGCTACTTGAAGGCCCATGACTATGTATGGACATTCAATCGTCCATGCAGCCCTTATGGGAGGAGCGTGGAAACGACTGATAGGCATACCTTTTGAACACACACATTTTGACTTTCTTATCCCCCCAAGAAACATGCCTCAAGTTTTTACGGTTTTCCTCCTAGCGGTCGCATTTATCCAAAGTACTCTAGCAAGTTAGCGGTTTCCAAGAAAGCCAATGGAAATTCTGAGCTGAGCGTGGGAAGGGCAGAAAGCGTCAGCAGCAGCGACCGCAGCGGGTCACATGCATCCATCCCACTTTCCTCAAGTGAAGAAGAGCCCGGCACTCCACTCCCAGGCTGTCCTTTCGTGACGTGACATGGCAAGCCTCCGCCCTCCCCCTTTACCCACATGTCTCCTTCATGTCCACTACTAGCATGAGCTCTTCGCGCATTGACCATCTCCAACACACGCACAACACCTGTGTTCAACCACCACCTCCTCCCTCCATCTGCTATCTATGCTACTGTATTGCCACAATACAGTAGCAACACTGCCCTCTGCTGGAGAGATCTGGTATAAAAGTGATTTGCTTGCGGACGTCTGTTGTCTCGGCTCTTTTCCACTTCTATGAATCTATGGTGAAGGTTTTGGGAGATAATGCTTTGGAAAACTAACCACCATCATCTCTCAATCTGAATCTCGTCGTTTAGACAAAACCAGTCTTTTTTTCCATTCTAGTGCCCTTCAGTGGTCTGGAATTACAACTCCCATGCTGTTGAAGAGTTGAGCCCAATCCAACTTGCAGAAACTTTAAGGAAGAAGATTAAGGTGTAAACACTGCATGGTATTCATGCTTGCCATCCTATTGGTGAGCTGGAGCATTGGAAGTCCTTAATTGATGCCTGGGAATGCTCAGGAGCTGGTCGGGATGAAATAAGATCTGGCAAAGCACTACCAAGGCTGAATATAGGTTGTCCTTGTTAGGATAGTGTTTCCTCCCACAAGGTTTTGATCATGGCTCCTCAACTGACGAGAAATTCCTCTATAAGGAAAGCCATGGCTTTGGGAAGCGGGCAGTATTGC